CTGCTATGTGTTACTGACGAAGAACACCCCAATATGTGGTCAGCAACATCTCCTGAGTACAACATTGCCCCCAATGTTCGGGTTTTATGGGTTTTTGCAAACATAGAGGGGTCAAATGTAGGGCTTTTCCCTTTTCCATGTTTGCACATTGAAATTTGCCAGATTGGTTTGCTGGACCTATGTGGCCTTTGAGACCGTATAGCAGCCCAGGAATGAAAATTAACCCCATCATGGCATACCATTTGTAAAAGTAGACAACCCACGGTATTCAAAATGGGGTATGTCCAGTCTTTTGTAGTAGCCACTTAGTCACAAACACTGGCCAAAGTTAGTGTTTTTATAAATGTTTTTTTTTTCTCCCAATTTATATTATTTATAAACACACACACGCACACACACTTTTATTTCCTAAATATATATTAGGATTAAAGCATTTTATAATATATTATTACATATATAATGCATATACATGATTTCATTATAAGTGTATCTTGAGATATATGTGTATATATTTCAAAGTACACTTATAATGAAATCATATATATGGATAATATATTATAAAATGCTTTATTTATTTTATAAAATATTATACATATATGTATAATATATTTATTTTAGGTTTTTAGCAGCCTGGGGGACTGTCTGACAGTTCCCCTGCTGGCAGCTCCTAGACTCCTATTGTGGCAATGTGATTATGGTGATCGAGGCACTCCTGAAGGCTTCCAATGCTCTGCCTCACTGCCGGGCTCCATGTGGAGCAACCCAGAAGTGATTGCTCCGGGGAGAGTGATCACCCGGTGTTCTCCAGCGGCCCGGCAGTGAGGGGGTATTGCAGTGATGCTTCGACATCGAGGCATTACTAAAATACCATTAGAGCTTCTGGAAGTGATCATGATTGTTTCCAGTGCTACAATTCCCCGTGCATGTATCAGGCACGTCCGCGGTCCTTAAGGACTGTTTTTTTTTTGTCGGACGTACCTGATACGTCCTTGGTCACTAAGGAGTTAAAGGCACCCCTTTATTTAACCATGGGCATGAAGTACTTTTACATATGGCTTTGTATCAAACCAACCTCTGGTTTTTATTGACAAAAAGCTCTATTTTGCTTTTATTTGACCGTAGAACCCAATCCCATTTGAAGCTTTAGTAGTGTCTGGCAAACTGAAGATCATAGAGTTTGCTTTCTCTATGAGACTAGAGTTTTTTTTTCTTCAAATCTTTCCAAACAATATGTGGTTATGTAGACGATGTCTGATTGTAGTTTTGAAAACTTTCTGATCCTAAAAAGGAACTCATTTCAATTCTCCATTTGTGATCCTTGGAGATTTTTGGGCCACTTGCAGTTTCCTCTTCACAGTGGGTTGAGACACTATAGACACATGTCCTTTAACAGGTTGATTCATAACATTTCCAGGTGGATATAACTTCTTGTTGCCCTAATTGTGGAAATAGGCATTTTCAATGCTTTTGCCATTTTCATATTGTCACGATTCGGGGAACCCAACACGCTGGCACACACACACACACACAGAAAAGGTGCCGTACCGGACCTTAGAGTGGCTGGGCTAAGCACGCTAAGAATAGTCAGGAGACAAGCCAAGTAAAGGGAGCCAGAAAACGGGAGAACGAGAAACAAGCCGAGGTCAAAGGAGTGGAGAAGACAGGATAATCGGAATAACGAGCCAAATAATCAGTAACCAGAGAGCAAGACGAGAACACTACGCTACAGGTATCACAAGACCACAACAGGGCACTGAAGGGACAGGAAAGGTAAGTATAAATACCCTTGGTTTAATTCTGATTGGATAACTTCCAATCAGAATTAACAATCACACGTGGGGGATATCTATACCTCCCACTGTGATTGTGGTACTGTTTCTTTAACGCCGGGTCACTCACGTGACCCCGGCGTTTACATAATTCATTGACCTCCCAGCATTATACATGCTGCCGCTGAGGGGCGTGGAGGACGCGGGTGGCGAGCGGCAGAGAGGAGTGAGGGTGAGTGCTGCAAGTGGCGTGCAGCCTCCCCTCCTAGCCGTCCGCGGATCCCTGACATAACCCCCCCTCGAGGCCCGCCCAACGGGCGGGAAGCCGAAGGCTTCGAAGGGAACCACGCATGAAAGGAGCGGATCAAAGAGGGTGCATTTAAGTCAGAGGCAGAAACCCAGGACCGCTCCTCAGGGCCGTAACCTTTCCAATCAACCAGATACTGCAACCGACCCCGAGAAAAACGAGAATCAAGCAGAGCAGCCACTTCGTACACGTCATTAGAGACTGCGCAGAGGGAATCTGGACGCCTGAGAGGACCAGAGAATCGATTACAGAGCAGGGGCTTCAAAAGGGAGGTGTGGAAAGTGTTAGGTATACGCATGGAAGGAGGCAAGGCCAGGGAGTAGGACACAGGATTGACCCTACGCAATACCTTATAGGGGCCAAGGAACCTGGGCACAAATTTCATTGAGGGGACCCTGAGGCGGAGATTCTTAGAGGACAACCAAACCCTATCACCCGGGACATAAGAGGGAGCAGCACCCCTACGACGATCAGCAAATCTCTTCTGAGTAGCAGTCGCACGAGAAAGAGTAGCATGGACCTGATCCCACATCTTCCATAAGGAGGTGAGGTGCTCGTCCAAAGCGAGTATTCCCTTGTCGGAGAACACGCCGGGAAGGACAGAGGGTTGGAACCCATAAGCAACCATAAAAAGACTTAAGCCAGTGGACGAATGAGTCACAGTGTTCCTGGCGAATTCAGCCCAAGGAAGGAGGTGAGACCAGTTGTCCTGGTGTGCATTCATGAAGCAACGTAAATATAACTCCACAGATTGATTCGCCCGTTCGGCCGCTCCATTAGATTGTGGATGATAGGAGGAAGTAAACGACAAGGAAATCCCCATCTCCGCACAAAAGCCCCTCCAGAACCGAGAGACAAATTGAGGACCCCTGTCAGATACGATATCCTGTGGTATACCATGCAAGCGGAAAACCTCTTTGGCAAATACCTGAGCCAACTGAACCGCAGAAGGTAGTTTCTTAAGTGGAATAAAGTGTGCCATTTTAGAGAATCTATCAGTCACAGTCAAAATTACTGTCATTCCATCGGATGAAGGAAGATCCACAATAAAGTCCATGGATAAGTGGGTCCATGGTTTCTTGGGTACGGATAAAGGCATTAGGAGTCCCGGGGGTTTGACATTAGGGGACTTACACTGTGCACAAACACGACAAGCCTGCACATAATCCACCACGTCTTGCTTAAGTGAAGGCCACCAAAACTGTTGAAGGAGACCCTTGTATGTTTTGGTAACCCCTGGGTGGCCAGCCGTTTTGGCGGTGTGAAATAAAGCTAACAATTTCTTTCTATCTTTCTCTTTCACGTATAATCTACCAACAGGTGTCTCAGAGGGAGCTTGGGTTTGGTATGCCTTGATACCATCAAGGAAAAGAGACAAAATAACTAAACGGGTAGCAGCTATTATCTTAGACGTGGGTACAATGGGTTCAGGAGTGGGGGCGATAGACTCCAAAGGTTCGTATTGTCGGGAGATAGCATCAGCCTTGACATTACGGTACCCAGGCCTATATGTGATAATGAACTGAAAGTGCGAAAGAAATAAGGACCATCTGGCTTGACGAGAGGACAACCTTTTAGCATCAGCTATATAGGAGAGATTCTTATGATCAGTTATAACCAGGATTTTGTGTCTAGCTCCTTCTAATAAGTACCTCCACTCTTTAAATGCCATCACAATAGCTAATAGTTCCCTATTCCCGATGTCGTAATTCTTTTCCGAATCAGACAGTTTTTTAGAAAAGTAACAACAGGGATGGAGGGGTTCGTTATAGGATAATCTTTGTGATAATACAGCTCCTATACCTGATTCTGAAGCGTCTACTTCCATTATAAAGGGAAGGGAAGGATCAGGATGGTGTAGCACAGGAGCAGTGGCAAATGCCTTTTTGAGGGTTTCAAAGGCTTTGATGGCTTCAGGAGTCCAAACCCTGGGGTGCAGAGGCCAAGACAATATGGCTTCTAATTTAGAAGGATCCATACTGAACCCCTGTTCACAAATGATGTACCCTAGGAATTGTACTGATTTCTGGTCAAATAAACATTTCTCCAATTTACAATAAAGACCGTTCTGTAGCAATCTCTTAAGTACCTTCCTCACATGGGCATGATGTGACTCCAAATCAGGAGAGAATATGAGTATATCACCACATAAACCACAGCACAGACATGCAGTAGATCTCTAAGGACATCATTTAGGAAGTCCTGAAAGACAGCAGGAGCATTACACAGTCCAAAAGGCATGACTAGATACTCGTAATGCCCACTGCGTGTATTGAACGCTGTCTTCCATTCATCATTTTCTTTTATCCGAACCAAGTTGTAAGCCCCCCTGAGGTCTAGTTTAGTAAAATATCTAGAACCTTTAACACGGTCAAACAACTCAGCAATGAGAGGGATAGGATAAGCATTTTTAATTGTTATATTATTCAGGCCCCTATAGTCTATACATAGTCTCAAATCGCCCTCCTTCTTGGCAACAAAAAAGAAACCAGCACCAGCCGGAGAGGAGGACCTTCTGATAAAACCTTTACGTAAGGATTCCTGTATGTACTCCTCCATGACCTGGTTTTATTTCTCAGAAAGGGGTAGTTTATCAGCCTCCCTCTTTTCAAAGACCAATGCGAGGTCTGCATACACAGGAGGGACAGAAACAGAAAGTGGTTTAGCTGTAGGCACATTAAGTAAACAAACGGGATGTAAACGGGCCATACAGTCTTGTTGACAAGATACCCCCAAGGAGAGTATATCTAGAGAATCCCAATCGAGTACCGGGTTATGCTTAACTAACCAGGGAAAACCCAGAATGATGGAAGCTGTAGGGGAGTCAATTATTTGGAAGGCTATCCTTTCTTTGTGTAAGGCACCCACGACCATAACCCATAGGCGTGCGCAGCCTATTGCATTAGGGTGTGCACCCTAAAGCACAAACACACGCCGCGCGTGTGTGTGTGTGTGTGTGTGTGTGTGTGTGTGTGTGTGTGTGTATATATATATATATATATATATATATATATATATATATATATATACACACACACACACACACTGCTGTGTGTGTTGTTATGTGTGCTGTGTGCTGTTAGTGTGATGTGTGTGTGAGGGTGCGTGTTTGTGACTGTGCTGTTTGTGTGTGAGGGTGTTTGTGTGTGTATGTTTGTCCTGTGAGGGTGCTGTTTGTGAGGGTGCTGTTAGTGTGCTGTGTGTGAGGGTGTTGTGTTTTTTTTAAAGGTGCTGTGTGTGTTTGTGAGGGTGCAGTTAGTGTACTGTGTGTGTGTGAGCTGTATGTGTGTAGGTGCTGTATGTGTGTGTGTGCTGTATGTTTGGAGGGATTTGGCAGATTAGTAAATCCTTGCTGCCATGTGCCATCCCTGGTGGTCCAGTGGAGAGTGAACTCTAGCCTGCGGGGCTAGAGTTAACTCTCACGAGATCTGAGCGTTGCCGCAGCAACGCTCAGATATCGTGAGAGGAACCTGGCGGAGCTTCTGTCTAGAGCTCCCTCCATACTGCCTCCCTCCATGCTGCTGTGGGCCGGTGAGGTAGATCTTTGGTCTCCCCGCCGGCCCATGTAGGCTTAGAGCAGAGCCGGCACTCAGATAGCGCCGGCTCTGCGTGTGTGTGTGTGTATATATATATATACGTACACACACACACATACATACTCACAGACACACACATACACTCACAGACACACTCACACACACACTGACACACACTCACACACACACTGACACACACACATACATACTCACAGACACACACTCACAGAACCACACACACACACATACTCACAGAAACACACACACACACACACTCACAGACACACACACATACTTATAGACACACACACACTGACAGACACACACATACTCACACACACATACTCACACACACACACAAATTATTATATTTTAATTTTAAAAAACAATGTCCACCCAGCCTCCTACCTGGAGTGCTGGTGGACTTTTCCCTGGGGTCCAGTGGGGGCGGGCGCCTTTCTCCAGTTCAGCCGCGGCGAGGGAGCTGTCTGCTCTCTGCTCCCTCTTGCCGCGCGGGCTGCTGCTGTAGCTGGGAGCCGGAATATGACGTCATATTCCGGCTCCCGGCATCAGCGCGCGGCGAGAGGGAGCAGAGAGAGACAGCAGAGAGCTCCCTCGCCGCGCGCTGAGAGGGGGGGGAATCCATCACCTCTTGCCCTCCCCATGACAGGGGCAAGAGGTGAAACAGGGGGCACTGAGTGCCTGCAGGAACAGCGTTCCTGCTCAAAAAAAGTGCAGGAACGCTGTTCCTGCAGGACTCAAACCATAAGCGTGCCACGGGGATTAGGGTGTGCCCAGGCACACCCGGCACACCCCGTGCGCACGCCTATGCCATAACCATTTCTTGGGTTTCATGGGTCACCAGAGGTTTATCAAGTGGTCTACCATCCATTCTAGCCTCCTGATTTACTAACAGCTGTGGAATGTCAGCAGGTTCCATGGTGGCCCTGTTGTAATGTCACGATTCGGGGAACCCAACACGCTGGCACACACACACACACACAGAAAATGTGCCGTACCGGACCTTAGAGTGGCCAGGCTAAGCACGCTAAGAGTAGTCAGGAGACAAGCCAAGTAAAGGGAACCAAAAAACGGGAGAACGAGAAACAAGCCGAGGTCAAAGTAGTGGAGAAGACAGATAATCAGAATAACGAGCCAAATAATCAGTAACCAGAGAGCAAGACGAGAACACTACGCTACAGGTATCACAAGACCACAACAGGGCACTGAGGGACAGGAAAGGTGAGTATAAATACCCTTGGTTTAATTCTGATTGGATAACTTCCAATCAGAATTAACAATCACACGTGGGGGATATCTATACCTCCCACTGTGATTGTGGTACTGTTTCTTTAACGCCGGGTCACTCACGTGACCCTGGCGTTTACTTAATTCATTGACCTCCTAGCGTGCAGCGTTATACATGCTGCCGCTGGGGGGTGTGGAGGACGCTGGCGGCGAGCGGCACAGAGGAGACGCCGCTCGCCGACAGGTAAGCAGAGGGGAGACCGCGGGCGGCGATGGACTGAGGGTGAGTTCTGCAAGTGGCGGATCCCTGACAGCGTATGTGACAGACGTGACATTCTGGAGACACCGTGGAGAACGTTCTGCTGCCTGCAACATCCTCCAGCATGACCGGTTTGGCAGTGGGTCAGTAATGGTGTGGGGTGGCATTTCTTTGGGGGGCCGCACAGCCCTCCACGTGCTCACCAGAAGTAGCCTGACTGCCATTAGGTAGCGAGATGAGATCCTCAGACCCCTTGTGAGACCATATGCTGGTGCGGTTGGCCCTGGGTTCCTCCTAATGCAAGACAATGCTAGACCTCATGTGGCTGGAGTGTGTCAGAAGTTCCTGCAAGACGAAGGCATTGATGCTATGGACTGGCCCGCCCGTTCCCCAGACCTGAATCCAACTGAGCACATCTGGGACATCATGTCCACCAATGTCACGTTGCACCACAAACTGTCCAGGAGTTGGCAGATGCTTTAGTCCAGGTCTGGGAGGAGATCCCTCAGGAGACCATCCGCCACCTCATCAGGAGCATGCACAGGTGTTGTGTCATACAGGCACGTGGAGGCCACACACACTACTGAGCCTCATTTTGACTTGTTTTAAGGACATTACATCAAAGTTGGATCAGCCTGTAGTGTGTTTTTCCACTTTAATTTTGAGTGTGACTCCAAATCCAGACCTCCATGGGTTGAAAAATTTGATTTCCATTTTTTTTTTGTGTGTGATTTTGTTGTCAGCATTTCAACTATCTAAAGAACAAAGTATTTCAGAAGAATATCTAATTCATTCAGATCTAGGATGTGTTATTTTTGTGTTCCCTTTATTTTTTTGAGCAGTGTAGTTCTCTCTGAAAATGTTTAATGACAAAAAACTTAAAATACCCTCTAACATTCATTCAACATTCATTCATTAAAGAAACACTGTGTGTAATCAGAAATCTAATTTCTGATCTGACTTTTTTCCAATTTAGGTCACACTTAAGGTAGAAACATAGAATGTCAGGAACAAGTAATACAATCCCATATAACAATAGTCACAGCAAGCAAGGTAATCCACAAATATCCCAATATAGATCCCAATGACTGGGCGACACATAGCATCAGGAACAGAACTAAACTTTTAATCACACAACCTCCTTTTAAAGGTTTCTCCCATGCAAGGGAGGGATTCACATTAATTTGTACAGTAGCCAATAGTGTAATGGTTACCTCCCACACATCTCCTCCCCTCAGTGTGACACATAATCCACTTATACATACTGCTGTTTTACCCAATTTCTGGATGTACCCCAAAACAGTCAGATATAATTATATAAGGTGTACCCCCTGGTAGCCCTGATCTGGGTGACCAACATATTCAAAATTCACCCAGATCGGACCAGGGGTTCGGGAGTTAGGTGGAAGAGGCAATTTGACCGACCACACACAAGGTAGTATCCGAAAAAGGCTCCATGTGTTTTGGCCTTGCAATCGGTCTCTGTTCAGGAGATAAAACATATAGAATTACTTGCCATCCAACGTTAAATCGGTATTCGTATGAATTCCTTTATTCGGTACATCTAGTTCACCGAACGAGGGTCTGGTTGGCCCCTCTGTTTGGGAGTTATGGAGCTCTGGAGGTCTCAGTGGTGTTCGGGTATACAAAGTACCGATTGCATGGTCAATTAGCTTGCGGTTACAGAGTGTGAAAGCCTAACGAGGTGCACACTTCTCTCTCGGGTGGTCTGATGGTTCGGTAGTTTTCATTCATATGGAACATTGACTAAAAACTACCGAACAATGAGACGAATGCTACATACAATACATCTATACAGGGGAATAATAACACGAAATACATTTTTAAAGCAAACTTTGAGGACAGCCCAATGCCATCCGCTACACAGAGCATTAAGGCTAGGTGTAGGGAATAAGTGTGGTGCAGAAAAGTCAATAATCAGTCGCTTTTTATTGTTATATTTCCCTGTGGCGATTCCTAGTGGGTTTGTACTCCAGGAAGTGAAAGGAGGAGTAGAGAAAGGGCCTATCATAAAACCATTGGTGATTTATTTCTGTATTAGTTTGCATATGCTGTATGGATCTGTGAGTGCTGACTGTAAGTTGGGGCATTCTAAAACCTCTGTGGGGAGTGACACGAACCCTGTGTGGAACCCATTAGTGAAACCAGCCGTGAAAAATTCCACCAAATGAACAGAAGGATGATTAGACAGGTAGAGTTGCAACTTAAGTACGTTTATTGGTGTGGAAGATTTGTTAGGGTACAATCTGTTGGGGCACATTGTTTTGGCATGTGCTCTGAAACACATTGAGCACACGTGCAACAGCCTACAAGCACTATAACTGCAACCACCTGTATTGAAATTGTTGCAGACTTGTGCTTTACCTAGAAAAACTATAGGCCTGCCTAGTTTGTCTCTCACTTCCCTCTGTGTTGTGTTGGATTGATAACCAGTATTGGCGCTACTGGTAGAAGGGGACACAACGTTTTCAGGACAGAAATTTACTGAATGAGCAGCAGAAGAGCATATAGCGCAGGAAGGGGTTTTAAGGCCTGCAAAATGCATGAGAAACAATTCTGTGTCTAGCTGTGCCCAATCAGTAATCGTATTGTACTGGGAGAGTGATGCTGTGGATCTGGAAGCAAATGACTTATGATAATCATAAAACGCATAGCCGCCGTACTTGTATGCCAACTCAACCACTTTATGAAAGTATAAATCAAGTTCCTCTCTACGGAGTGGGAAAGCTGTACAGATCACATCTCTGTACAAACCGAATGCAAGGACAATTTCGGGGATGTTGAGTTTCCTATTTAGTCTAGGATCTCTAGACTTCATCACTACTGACAGATCCTCGAAGGTATAGGCCCTGTTTTCTACCCCATCTTGAGATGCGATCAGTAGTGATGCCAAGTTTATGTCCTTCCCCTCTATAATGTCACGTCTTAGAGACTGAGGAATGAGATAAATGGGGTTTATGATATTAGTAGCTCTATTTGCTGGTAGAGGTTATCTTT